TTATGCTGTGCTGTTGTTATTCTTTGGTGTTAATGTTTGTTTTAATTTTTATTTTTGCTATTGTTGTTTTTATTATTATTATCATCATCAGCATTATTGATAGTATTAGTGTGATTATTGTTATTATTATTATTATTGTTATTATTATTATTATTATTATTATTATTATTATTATTATTGCAATTATTATTATTATTGTTATTATTATTTTTATTATTTTATTATTATATTATTATTATTATTGTAACCATTACTATTATTGTGATTATTACAGCTATTATTACCATTATCCGAAGTATTATGCAAATTTGTAGACATCGTGATGACAGGGTCCTATTTCTCAATGCTTGTTGCTATTAATAAAAAAAAAAACTATTGAAACTGGAAACGAAGGAGATATTCGATGTTCTTGGGTAATTATTGTTTCATAACAATGCTTTCGAAGTTATCAGTTTTCCGTCCGAGAAATGGCATTTCACCATGTTGGCTCAGCTCTTTGTTGTGTGTGTGTGTGGGGGGGGGGTGGTGCGTGTGTGTGTGTGTGTGTACGTGTGCCAGTATGCATTTTCCGGACGCTCAATGAGGGAAAAAAAAAAAAAAAAAAAAAAAAAAAATATATATATATATATATATATATATATATATATATATATATATATATATATATATATATATATATATAAGCTTTGAAAAATCATGAAAACGAATGAAATTGTAAAACACAAAGCAATTAGCCCCCCCCCCCCACGTCCGAAAAAGAATAAATAAATAAACTAAACAAATATATAAACAGACAGACACAAATAAACACGACCGGAAGAAGCTCAAGTCCAGAAGAAGCTCAAGCCCACAAACGTACTGTTGCAATGTTCGAGCACGGCGCCGGAATGACTAATATCCTGTTCACGATATCACTAACATCACGGGCTTGCAACCGATAAGCGTTCGGGTGCGTGCGTGTCGTGACGTGTTGCAGGGCGTTCGGATGTGGCAGAGGGTCCTCGACCTGGGTTTGACGGTTTGACCTCGCGCGTGACCCCGGTGTGTGTGTGCCCGTCGCGTGGGTCGGTGGACGAGTTTTTTTTTTTGTTTTTTTTCGTTTTTTCTTTTTTTTTGTTTGTTTGTTTTTGTTTCTTTTTTTCGTTTTTTCTTTTTCTCTTATTTCTTTGTTTTCTTCTTTTTCTCTTATTTCTTTTTTTCTTCATTTTTTCTCTTTTCTTTCTTTATATTCTTTCTTTTTATTCTTCCCTTCCTTCCTTCCTTCCTTCCTTTCTCTTTTACTTTTTCATTTTTACTTTTTCTTCTTCTTCTACTTCTGGGTGTGGTTGTGGGCTGATAGTTATTTATCTAGGTAACTAGTTATTTACGTAAACAAACATAGAACAAATTATAGATATAGAGAGAGAGCGAGAGAGTACATCCTCCCTAGATAGTGACAGGGATGATAAATAGATAAATGGATAAATGGAATAAATGGAATAAAGGGGAATAGAAAGAGAGCTCAGTGCTGACTCCGTCCTCGTAGTCTAAAGGGATTTGCAGGAATTGCAATTGGCGCGGTGCTGCGACAAGGGAGACAGACAGACAGATGGAGAAAGAGACAGACAGACAGACAGAGAAAGAGACAGACAGACAGACAGACAGAGGAAGAGACAGAGAGACAGAGGAAGACAGACAGACAGAAGAGAGGAGAGAGGACAGAGGAAGAGACAGACACAGACAGAGAAAGAGAGAGAGAGAGACAGACAGGCAGAAAAGAGAGAGAGGAGAGAGAGAGACAGAGAAGGAGAGGAGTTAAGAGAGAGACAGAGAAGGAGAGAGGTGGGAGTTAAGAGAGAGAGAGAGAGAGAGGGGGGGGGGTGTCTGTCGTGGCTAATGAAAGGTGCTTGCTTCTAAACACGTTTAGCTGCGTCTGCATAATTGGTGCTGTGTCGCCGTCAGTTTAGAGAACTTTTTGCTTGCACTTTTTTATGATACAGTGACGCTGATTAAAATAGAAATTGACATATACATGTCCAATATATGATGGTGCTTGCGCGTTCGCACACGCGCGCACGCGCACACACACACACACACACACACACACACACACACACACACACACACACACACACACACACACACACACACACACACACACACACACACACACACTTCCGTGCCTGCCTCAGCTCACGAAAAGGGGTAAAAAGAAAAGAAGGAAAAAAAAAAGCTCCCGTGCCGATAAATCGTTACAAAAAAAACCGCAAACGAAACAGCGGGCGACGGGGGGGAGGGGGGGGGGGGGGCACCGCGCTGGCCTACCGCCGGGACGTGTCGCGTTGCAGTCTCGCGGTTGGAGAGTCGTTGCAAGGGGGCGGGCGAGTGCTGCTCGGTGTGGGCGTCTAGTTGCTGTAGTTGCAAGGATTTTTTTTTTTTTTTTATTGTTGTTGTTGTGTTAGGCTAAGCGGGTTTTTTGATAGGGGTGTGGGGTGGGGTGGGGAAGGGGGGGGAGGAGAAGGACACGGCGACACGGACGAACCCACGCATGCACGAACTCGTACTCAGGGGGAGGGAGGGAGGGAGAGAGAGAGATAGGAGAGAGAGAGAGAGGAGACAGAGATACAAAGACGGAGATGGAGAGAAAGAGAGAAAGAAAAGGCAGTAAAAAGAGAAGGAGAGATCCAGACGGACAGACGGACATTATTTGCTTGTGTTGTTTTATTCGTGCCTTTTCCTCCATTCGTTTTACCCCCTTCTCTCCTCTCCTCTTTCTCTACTTCCCTCCTTTCCGCCTCTCCTTCGCTCCTCTTCCTCATCATTTTCTTCCTTTTCTTTACGTTTTGTTTTCCTCTCCTCCCCGTCCCCTCCCTCTCCCTCCCCTCCCCCCCCCTCCTTTTCCCATCCTCTTCCCTTTCCTTATTTTTTCTTCCTACAGCTTCCTCGTTCTTCTATTGCCCTTCCCCCCCTTTCTTTTACCCACCACTCCTCTCCACCCTTCCCTCCCCCTCCTCTCTTTTCTGATATCCTATTTCCCATTCCTTCCTCCTTCCTCTAACCTCTATTCCTGTCACTTCCTCATTCCTCCCTTCTGCTCCCTTCTCCTCTCTCTCCACCCTTTGCCTCACCTCCCTTCTCCCCTCTCTTCCCTTCCCTTCCCCCTCCCCCCTCCTTCCCTCCCCTCCCTCTTTCTTTCTCTCCTTCCCCATCCCCCCATCCCCACCCTCCTTTCCCCTCCCCCTCCCATCCCCTCTCTTCCCCTTCACCCTTCCCTCCTCTCTCTTCCCTTCCCCCTCCTTCCCACCTCCACCCCCACCCCTCCCTTCCCCTCCTCCCCTCCCCCATCCTCACCCCTCCCATTCCCTTCCCCCTCCCACCCCACCCCTTCTTCCCCTTCCCACTTCCCTCCTCTCTCTTCCCTTTCCCCCTCCCCTCCCTCTCCCATGGCCTCCCTTCCCCCTCCCTCCACCCCTTCCCAGAGAGGGGTCAGACGGCGACCCCGAAGACGAGAGGCCGAGGGTACGAGTGCGTAATCGTGTGTATAACGGTGTTGCCAGCATCCCCATACGCCCTTGCCCTGGGGTGGGGGTGGGGGGGGTGGGGTGAGGGGGTGTTCTTACGGGGGGGTTTTGTATCTCTCCTTGTCTGTCATTCTCTTTTTTTCTCTTTCTCTTTTTGTCTCTATTTTTGTCTCCTTTTCTCTCTTTCTCATTTTGTCTGTCACATTTTCATTCTTTTATCTAATCTATCTATCTATCTTTACCTCTCTTTTCTCTCACTCACCCTTCCTCCACCCTTCCCCCTTTTACTCCCTCCCTTTCTCCCTTCCCGCTACCCTTCCTCCTCCTCCTCTCCCTCTCCTCTCCTTCTTCCTTCCTCTCCCTCTACATGTTGCTGAAATCATCTCACGTATTCATTTTCCGAGTCAAGGAAAAGTGACCAGCATAATATTAGAACTGCACCTCTGCTATACCTGCTATTATTCTGTAGACTGTGAAGATGTTTGGTACAGAGTTGTTGCGAGTATTAGATGCCTTTCGCTAGCTTTTAGAGACACCCGAATGGCTAGTGTCTTGTTGTTCCCAAATTGACAGGTATGTCTTTGTGGTTCGTATCCGTTTTTTTTTTTCGGCCTCTTCCCCGTTTTTTTCGGGAGTTTTCCCCGTTCTTTGCCGTTTTTTTTTTTTTTTTTTTTTTTTTTTTTCCTTTTTTCCCCCCCGTTTTTTTTCGGCATTTTTTTTTTTTTTTTTTTTTTTTTTTTTTTTTTTTTTTTTTTTTTTTTTTTTTTTTTTTTTTTTCCTGTGAGTGTTTCGCCGAAAGCTCGACGTCAGTAGGTTTCCCTCAACGGAACTACGGAAATCGGCTGCCTCCCAAACGCGCCAATTAACTCTCTACCTTATGGTCGATAATTGCGTGCCCCCTGGTGGATCTCCTATGGCTGGCGCACCACTTATATATTGATCTACCCCCCCCCCATCCCATCCCCCTCCCCTCCTAAAGAAAAAAGAAAGTAAAGCAGAGGGTTTGATGTATCTGTGACTCTGTGGCTGCGCTTGTGGAGTGATCGTGCGGGCGAGAGTGACAGCGTTTGCCCGCCGCCGCCTCGGGTTACGTTTCTTTTGTTTTTTCTAAGGATGCGAGATGCGTCGTTTCTGTATGTTTTTTTTTATGTTTGTGTGTGGGTGTGTGCGTGCGTGTGTGCGTGCGCGCGCGTGTGTGTGCGAGTGTATGTGCCTGTGTGCGCGCGCGCGCGCGTATGTGTGTGTGCGTGCGTGCGTGCGCGCGCGTGTGTGTGGGTGGTTATTAGGTTTGTTTGTGAAAGGGGGGGGGGGGGGGCACGACAAGCATCCACTACTGCCCAACTATTACAGTCCATTGTGCCTTTTTTTTTTCTTACAGATTTGATACATTTACCTCTGTCCCCGAATCGTCCAGAAACCCCATCTATTTTGTTTTTAACCGATTCCCTCCCTCCTTCCCTCCTTCCCTCCCTCCTTCCTCCTAGACTAACAGGTGTTCCC